TGTCCAAACCACCTACCCGCCTGGCCTTATGAACTGCCGTTCTGGCCAGCAGTGACATTAAATTGCTCGCGACGAGCTACACAAGTTAGTATCAAAAATAAGTTTTCTTTTTTTCTTCTTCTTCTTCTCTTTTCCTTTTTTTATTGAATTTATATAAGGAATTTTTATAAGGAACTTTGCAGCCCACAGTAGGTGTGGCACAAGACTCTTTAAGCTATCACTGAGTGTTAAGTTCAGCTTTCAGCTTCAAAACAAAAAAAGGAAGGGAGATGTTAGGGTGCGCGTTGCACTCTGGGCTGAATAATAAAGATGCTTGTGTTCACATCCAACATGGGGTCGGGCTTTCTCTTTCAACTACAGAAAGTAAAACTCTTCAACTTGAGCATATTGACTTGATGTACTGCCAAAGTCTCAGAACTGACATTAAAAGAAATGTATGGACATTCCGTAAGGAGAATATAAATTTTGAGCTTGCCACTGAAGGATGTGACTGAAAGGTTCTAAGTTAACTGAAGAATCTCTATCCTGTTAATCGTCCGTTCATAGTCCTGGAAAGGATAAAATTTTAAAAAAAGATAATAGTCTTTTTTAAATTTTATCCTTTTATCCTTAAAAAAGATAATAGTGGTAATGATAATAATAATAAAGATAATAATACAAAAGTTATTTGTGATTGTGTTCAGGCGATATGCTTCTGGTTCAGGAAACCTTTACCAAAAATGTATGAATTCCTTCATCGAGCCAAATTTCGCTCGTTAGAGACTAAGAATGGTATATTGGACAGAATTATGGAGAAAAAAGAAAGTTTTGAAGAAAATTTGTGTTTTTCTTTAAGCATTCGGCCCTCTCTAATGTAGCTCGTGTTGCTAATACTGAGTAAAACAAACTTGGAAAATGTCGTTCCGTTGCGTTGAACGAAACGAGTAAAAACAATGAGCGCACAATATAAAATGAGCAAATTCAGAATTCACTTTAGAGAGCAAGTACTCAGTTGCATCAGTCCTTTATGAAAGATTACTACGTCGAATGAATCCATCGATAGTGTAAAGTTAGAAATATCAACGTTCATTGCTGAGTGGACAAAGATTAACTAATGTTTGAAGAGAGCTTTTTATAGAGAACGTTCGAAGAAAAAAAAGGCTAAGTTTCTTCCACAAAATACGCTGGTTTTGTGTATAGTTCTTACCTTGGCAAGATATAAAAACCATATCTTATCCGAAGCACGTGCTTGCAAGGCTTGCTTGAAGTAAATTCTTATTGCAGTTGTTGGTGTTTCCTAACTGCTCTAAACGAAAGAACGGTCCAAAAGAAAACTTGGTACTTGTTCCTGGAAGAGGCCAAGCTGAGGTAACTTATGTTTCCGCTGGTGGAATTCTTGAACGTGATGGTAGATGCACTACCGAGGAACTTAACACAGCAAATGTTTCAGCGATGTACAATTTGCAATTTAAATTTGCACGCGTTTTGCGACTACACACCATATGGCTGATTAATTGCAATCATTTGCATTGATTAATTCGCCATCTTGGTGCGGGATATTTAAATTTCATTTGTATACGCGAAGGAATATGAGTAAATATGTTTTAGTTCAGGAACCTGTGCGTAACCAATACCTGCTATTATTCAGACAACTCATACTCTGGTCACAAAGCAGAGGTCAACTGGCTAAATTAATGTACCTCCCAACTCAAATACGTTTTCCGATTGGAGGAGAACGTGTCACGTGTTGTGGGTCAAAATCCACTAACTCCCTAGGGCGAACAAAACTCACTAACTCGCTAGGGAAACGACAACTTGAACTTTCGAGTCGCACGTGATCAGGTCGTGCTCCTTGAAACCGTGGCAAATTTTTGAGCCAGCCGGCGTCGATTTCTTTGCATTTTTTTCTGTTTTTGAGTTGGGAGGTATAACAATACACTTAATGACTGGTCCCAGTTTTGTTTCCCCTCGACCTCAATCTTCGCCTCGGAGAACATCGAGGGTCTCGGGGAAACAAACCTCACTGTTTTCCTTGGGGCCAGTCATTAAGTACAAGTGCTTAATCTTCCAGGGTCGTTCGGTCTTTCAGCGGGGTGAATTTAGGAAGACCCTAGCCTGGAATGAAGCTTTGTCAATCAGGCAGATCGGTGATCGTCGTCGTCTTTGAAAAGGTCCTTTTTTAAATTTTTTTCCACCCTCACTAAAACGCAAAGCCGGCGTTTTCAAATTCCTCCGGTTTGAAGAGCGTTTTCGAAAAGCTCCGTTTTCCTGACGAATTGGTGTGGACGATAGGCCTCTAACGTTTTAATAATTTAATTGTATTCTCCTAAAACAGTAAAAACTATATTAGGAGGTTTAAAGTTAGACTGAAGTAACCGTAGGAATTAAGCTGCGTTTTCAAATTCCTTTTAAGGGTGAACCAAAACTCGATCCTCAAACAAGCAAACAAAGAACTTGGCCAATTTCCAGCCATCAGTTGACCGAACAAGCTTGGTCAACAACCCATATGTCTTGTGCTATGGAGAAGCTACAAGGAGAGTGTTGCCGCGACATTTAATTCTTTTGCTATTTTTTTCCGTTTGTACGTGCATTCTTTCCGTCATCATCGCATTCTTTTCGTTTTTCTCGCTTTCACGTAATCAATATTCTGTTAGGTTTTTTCGCATAATTTTGTTTTGCTTCAGTTGCCTTTAGTATGCGTTTTTCTTTTATATTTGTGCATTTCCATCGCCACGTTACAGTCATCTTGTTTCATTTACCGCCTTCCGCTTTCCTCTTTCGTGTTCCTAACCGTCCTAGTCATACAACGTTTGTAAGTATCGTCTACCTTTGGGTCGTTATTTCTGTTTCTTTTATTGTATTCGTTCATAACTTGTAATTTATTTTGTCCGTAGCCGACCGCTCGCTCTTCATCACTTTCTTCGCTTTCATCGTTTATCACCGCACTTTGATGATCGTTTGAATTCTACATTTCGTCATATCGATTAAAGCACATGCGGCGTGTTCACACCACTACCCCTTCCCCCACTTCCCCCCCCTTTAATTATGACGTTCGTTTTGATATTTGCCCATGCTACAGTTTTGATAAACACGTATTGGGGATAACTTGTTTTTAGGACAGGCTGCAGTTTGCCTCTCTGTTCCTGTCAAAGCGGAGCGCCTTAAGCTAATGAACCACGATTATTGAAACCAATCTCCGCTCAGTTTGTATAGGTGGTCAAATTTCAAAACAATTTGCACGACCCCTTAGGGCGCGGTGTGCAATTTGTAGTCTTCAAAGAATTTAAGAGTGGTTATTTATTCCAAAATGCACGAGAAAAATCATTTGATTACTTGTTTAATATACATGCAATCCAATTTTAACTTGCTGCAATGTTTGGGATTGACGTGCCCTCGGCCAATCAGCATGCTGAAATTCTTACGTGTATTACTAGCGAGAAAAATAAATGGATCGTCGCCTTTCTAATGTAAATAATGAAACAAATTACAAAGATATCGAGAGGAAGCCACATCAGCCTTAGCAGGTTTTCATACGGGTCCTCTATCCAGGTTGTGCTGGTTTTCCAGGACGGAAAACAGTGGGAAAATTTGAACCGCTAGAAAAACCCTCAGAGCAAGGAAAGAACCAATAACAGACTCAAGCCACATTTATATATAACACTGGGCCAGAATCGAATCCGTATGCACGTTTATGTCATACATGAAACACGAAAGATCGTGTCTCACCACATTTCCAAACATCGAGAAGAGTTGAAAATACGACCTGTAGCGTATTTTTGACGAGCTTTGGTGTTTGGTAATGTGGTCGAACACTGTCTTGAGTGTTTGATAGATCTTCTCAATCGACTTGACAAATTGACAATGTTATGACGAAATCCATTGTCAATAACAGGACAGACGCATGAAAAACTGATGTCAATTTGTTTTTTGCGATAACAAATTGTCAAATTGTCCGCTCTCGCTCGTTGACGCTTCGCATAAATGATAAAATCATGTGTCTGTCCGCTTATTGATAATGAAAATTAGCCAATGAGCGCGCGAGAATTTCAGCAGTTATCGTAAAAACTAAAACTGAAGAGAAAACGGAGAAAATCGTAAAAATTTATATAAAGATCCGATATCTAAACACCATCACGGTCATGATTTCCTTTGTTTAAACTCGATACATCATTAATAAGTTTGAAAATAATTAGTCTAAAACCATCACAAGGCAACCAGAACATTTTTCCGAACAAAATATCCTTTATTTGCAGATTAATTCTCATGTTGTTTTCAGCCTTTTTATTTTATATGCTGCCTTAAAGGCGCGAATTTTTCTTTATAAAAATTAAAATCTCTATTTACAACCAGATACAAATGGTTCTACAATACAATACGATAAAAATTTGCTCTAGGAACAACTCTATATCATGTTCATTGATTTCGCAGGGGGGCATAAATATGGTGCTACAAAAATATCTTCCCGGTAGTGGAACATTTCAGAATTGAATATTGTATAACTCTTCAAAATTGTAGACTTCCACAACAAAAATTGGATACGAGTTCTAAGCGCACGGTACAATGCTTGGTTATACTATTCTTATCAAAGTCTTTGCTACAATTACAACTTAAGGTATTTTTTTTGGCCGATTCAAGATTCCTGTAAAGGGTATACAATTCAAAGTTTTTTCAGTTTTAGGCAAACCATGTTTAACCGCGTTCGAAATAAAAATAAAGGTTTTTTCCTCTAAAGGGCATACAATTAAAGCCTTTTTTCAGTACTGCGCAGATCAAGTTTAAACAAGCTTGAACGTAAAATAGGAGTTTTCCTGACTAATTTCTATACAGCTTCAAGATCAGCAGAAGATTGACAATATGAGATGATATTATTTGTTGCTAGTCATATTGGCAGGTAAAAAAATAGCTGTTGAAAGATAACGCTTAACTATCTGTGATAGAGTAGTTTTCAATTGAGTATCGTAAAACCAAAACCAAACCAATTACTTACCAATAGGCCATTTTACAGTTGTGTGCTTAGTTACCTGGCCTATGAATACAAGCGAGGCTCGAGGTGACCTTGCTTTGATACAGACCTTTCTACTTTTCTCATTTAAATGCTGATTAGTTAGCACAAGAGCAACTTGATTTACACAATAAAACAGTGACGTCTGTATCAAAACAAGGTCGCCTACAGCCTCGCTGTCATTCAAAAGCCAGGTCACTGAACAAACAACTGTAAAATGGTCTATTAGACTACTCAACCAATCTCAAATCGTAGTAAAACCAAAACCAAAGTAATCATCTGAATACTTTCGACACTCACTAAAAAAACCGCTCTAAGACATCTACTAATTAAATAACTATCTCACTTTCTAAAGGCCTTATATCACATACGGAGTGAAGAGGATAGCTAAAAATGTGTCACTTTCTAATGAAACAAAATACATAACTGGAAATCTTCTTTGATTGTCACTCTTTCGTAACAAAACAAAACAAATCTTCAAATGCAGATTTCGATATACTGCAGTATGTACACAGAACTCAATTACAGCTATACTTCATTATCTAATTAACCATTTCGAATCTAGAAAGTGGATCAAAGTGCACAGGAAAAATAAATTAAAAAGCAAAAAATGCCCTAAGGAAAATATTCGTCAATTTTATATACCTCTATTAACTTTAAACTATACAACTTCAGTTCCCTTTAACTAACATAGGCTTAAGAACTGAACTCATGAACAAATTAATTGAATCAATTTTGCTGCATTTTAAGTAAAAAAAAAGGCACTTCTTAAAAGTACAAGAAAAAAAATAAAATAAAATTATCCTTTAGCACTAATTTGACACAAAGCAACGAGTTGCTACCAACTAAAGTTACAAACATTAACTCGCGACAAACTAGGAAATTCTTACAAGGAAACACAATACAACTACCCAAAAATTAGCAATAAATCTACTATTCATTCTACGAGCTCCTCTCATGTTTTGCATCTAGCTGCTCAATATTAATTTATATAGCTTTGTTTCTATAAAAGTCTGAACTCTTTGCCTAGCCAAAAGATGAAAGGGAATGTGTGATATACAAAGATGACGATGCAGTAAAATTTCAATTAGCTTTAACAGATAATATACCTGTGCTAAATGCGTTAAAGATTTACACTGTTTTTACTGTTGCGGCCATTCTCTAAGCAGTGGATGTTCTGCTTTTGGAACGTGTTCTGTTGCTGCTGACCCAAAACCGCGGGCGTTTCTGGAACCCGTTTCCACATGAAATCGTTGCTGGCAAAGCGTATTGGGTTGCACTGGTAAGGGAACTCTCTTAACCAATTGCGTGACAGCATCGCGTCACGAGCTGTGGATGCGTTCCTTAGCAACGGTGTAAATTTTCGCCTTTGCAGTCTCGATTTACCAGAGACATCAAAGATCGGTGATAATAATTGGAGTGTCAGGCTCACTTGACCACCGAGGTGAAATGAAGGGCGAGCTCCTTGTGCTATCTGCCTCTGCCGCGATCCTGACATCACCGAAGTCTTCCTCTTCGGTCGCCGACTCCCGATCGCTAGCTTGAGCTAAAATTCTCTCCGCGGCTTCGTTGAGGTCGTCTTCCGAAACGTCGAAAGCTTCGGCGATTTCTTGTTCGGCAACCCGAACAAGTGGGTCGTCCAAGGTTATCGAAACACCTTCATCGACTAACGCACTCTCGAGAAGGCTTTTGATACTTGAGGACCTTTCACGGTCGAGTTCACGGCCCAAATAGGAAGCGTCCCCAGAGGCTGGTCGAGGCGTCAAGCCTAAAATCTCACTCCTGCTTCGCTGCCTCGTATAACGTCTTGGTTCAGGTGATTGATTAGGCCTTAGTGGCAAGCTCGATGCAGTTTTTAGGCCTGGATGCCCCTTAAGGGCAGTCAAAAATCCCGGATCATCCGGGTCTCCCAAAGGAAGTTCAATGCGAGGCTGATCACCCTCGCTTTCGTTCGCGTTTTCATCTGCTGATGTACCAGCACTGGGTACTAAAAAAGGTTGATCACTGAACATGGCTGAAGGCTGCAACAACAACAACAAGTATCAGAAAAGAATATCGATACCTGAGAAATTTACAGCTCACTGCGGAAATAAGAATACGTAACCACGTGGATGGGAGTGCAATAAAGGATTTACACAACGAGAGATGTTTGAGAATTAGCTTAAAATTGCAGGAGGCGTTAGGTGAGTACAATTCGAAAAAAATTCTTTAAGTTCTTCAGATTACGGCAAATGCCTTTGAGCATCGATTAGATTAGCCGAGAGAGGGGAGGGCCGGTTATGATTGTTGGATAAGTCGACAGAAATATTATGGAAATTTGTATTGCTTTGTTGCGGGATGTAGAGAAAACAGTAAATGTTTGCCCCTTCCCCCCTTCTAGGGAAACAGTGAAGAGTTTTTCCCCTCGACCATCAGTACCTTGAGGTGTCGAGGAAACACACGTTATTGTTATTTATATAATAATTAAATGAATGCGCGCGCTCCGATTCATCAATCAGCTATGGTTTACTGTGCCAGTAAACTCATGGAAATTTCGCGTGTCTTCTGAATTATTATATAAAAGCAATAGACCACAAGTTTTAATGGTTTAGAGGCATGATAAACCACTTGGGATGTTGGAAGAACACTCGAAGAAATTCGTAAATCACTCGCCTGCAGCTCGTGATTTACGAATTCTTCTCATGTTCTTCCAACATCCCGCGTGGTTTATCAGCCTATAAACCATAAAAGCTTGTGGTCTATTGCTTCAATAGCTTGAGTTTGGGTAAATCTAACATGCGCTTTTATTGGTTGATTTATGGTCACGCAGCAATGACTAAATTTAAATGTTAACCCGGCGAGCAACAATTACACATTTGTTGCTCGTTCTCACACTGACCGAAAGTTACTCTGACCTTTTCTTGCCTAATTTTTTTTACACTTAACTCCAGCTATATAACAAAACATTTATTATCTGGTCCTTTTGGGAACAGTTAGTTTAGTTTTCCCGCGAATTTCGATGTTTCTTTTGACTCCGTCTCCGGAAACATCCGAGATTCTCGGGAAAATAAAACTTATTGTTTCCCAAAGGACCAGTAATTAAGTGTATACTGTTTGCTTTGAAGCCAACCTAAGCGCTCATTATTTAACCTACCCTCGTCCCAGTAAGATTTGACATTGAGGAGCTTTTCTTCTTTGTGTCAAGACCATGCCCATTTTTGCCCAGAAAAGTAGACAAGCGGAAAGAAGCCGGTCGTTTAAAACTGAAAACAAAAATGTCAACAAAGATGAAAAAAATATACACTTGGACCACGCTAATTCGAACTCGGTTATTTCGAATCCCCCGTAATTTCGAACTCTAAACTATTTCCCTTAAATTCGCCCTTCAGTCATTTACTATCCACTATTTCGAACTACTGCTTCCCTTGAGAGTTCGAAATAGCGAGGTTCAGCGGTATAATATGTGCTGTAAATAACCAATACTCAGCCGAGAAAGGTAACAAATATTGTGAAGAAAAGCAATTTTCTTAGGGTGACATGCGATCAGAGGACACGTGAGACTTGAAGGAGCACAGTCACGGTATTTAGAGTTATCTTGTCCCCGTAATAGTTAACAAAGATATAAAGCACAAAGTGATAATATTAAACCATAAAGGAACAGGGAAGGTTAAGGATGGAGAAGATTGACACGGATTAAAAACGACAACTTGAAACACTTGGGCTACACTTATCAAGATGGGCAAACAGTGACGTTGCTCCTTTAACGTAATCAGATGAATACCTATGACGTGGTGATACTGATACTGCATTTTTAAGACTCTCCCAGAATCCCTTGTGCTGCAAAGACATCAAAACACGGTGTTACTGACAACGAAAAGCAACTACAGCAAAATGTCAATCCTGAGGTGTTCATGTAGATGTGGTTTACCTGGGCTTTTTGTGATGCGTCTTCTTTTAAGAATAGCTCGTCATCATCACTCCCCAGCTGACCGGAAATGGCCCGACGAAGCTGTGGTCCGAGACCATGAAGCGTCCTAAGACCCGCCTGGGAAGCGGCAATAGAAAGAGAGATGGAGATTATAACTATGGGCGTGATAATCATTAGGGCAATAAGGAACTCCCTGTCATGCCGCACGGCAGTACAAAACAGCATCAATAGCTGACGCGGGAAGGACCGGGAGAGGGAGGTGGGGTTGAACGGGTGGGAGTGGGGGTGGGGGTAAGGTGAGCCACCCAGATCAGCAATTCATTTAACGCGAGCAATTCAGAAAACTCAGAGAATTCCACCCTCTTTCAATCATCATTACCATTTATCATTAGGATAAATCAGGCTTGCAACATGACATGGCATGTGTTTTATGGCCTAGTTCACCACGAGTCTACCATAGCTCTGTGGTTGGAGCGCTTAATTCGTTAAAATCTTCTCGTCAGAGACAATTCGACGCAAGCGCTCTCCGGGTCATTTTCTAACAGGCTAATTCTTTTTCTGTCTGTATGGCCGTTCCACTCATTTAGGAAAGAGAAAGACACTGCTTCGGTTGAAAACAAAAAAAAACAATAGTTTTTTTTTTCAGAGAAAAGAAAAGGGTCTACCGACAAGTCGGTGTCGGAGTGTTTGAACTCGTCTTTTACTGGACAACAAAAACAGACGAGAGAACTAGCGCCTGCTCGGCAAATCTTCGTTGCAGAATTCCCGATTCTTTAGCGATCAGGGACAAAAAACGCGAGCTAGTCCAAAAATTCAACAAATGAAAACCACAGCAAGAAAAACTTTGATACGACAGTTGTTTGGCAACCTCAGGGTCAAAAAACTAAATTAATCAAAACAAAACCCTCGATGTGAAAACGGCGGCCTTAAACTAGTGCCGGACACTCGATTTTGAAACCTTTCCCCAAACTAAGGAATCTAAAACTCTCCGGTCGCTATGGTTACTCGGTTTTATCTTAGTCAACAACCTGAATGGACACTGACAAACACACTAACAGTTTTTACCTGTAAAGCCACAGTGCTGTTTCCAGGCATCTCATTGGCCTGGTCTTGCGCTTTCTGTCTCGCTTTGAAGCGGCGAAAGTACTCTTGAATCAGGTAGGTAGCGTAGAACTTGCCAACTGTGACGTCATCGCCTATGCAGTAAAAAAANCCTCGGGTAACTACATGCTTGCCCTTAACATTCCCACTCCAACCACCAGGAAATACTGGATTAAAGTAAATCATTTTACCTTGCATGCTCCTCCACAGCCCTAGGAACTCTGGGTTAAACAACCCTAGGGAAGGGGTGTTGAGGACGCACCCCTGGGGTAACTACCTGCTTGCCATTAACATTCCCACTGCAACCACTAGAAACTACTGGATTAAAACAAATAATTGTACCTTGCATGCTTCCCTGTGTGGACAAAACTTTCCAAACCCTAGGGGCGGTGCTATCCGCTTGAGAACAGTCACAATATCCACGTGTTTAACGCAACCCCGTGCTTCAGGATCATACTCGGACCAGACCCTCACGTACTCGTCCAAATGATGAGGACCAAGAATTGACCAATCACGCGTTAAGTAGTCAAAATTATCCATGATGACGGCCACGAACAAGTTGATGATCTACAACAGGGTGAAGAATATTGGCGAACATCATCATCAATCAGTGGAGTAAGAAATTTGCTTTCTTTTCATCTTCAGCTAATTCAGAGACGATACGTGAAGGCTATCCCATGAAAAAGGGGGACTGAATTTTTCAAGTTTAGTCTTCCATAATCTTCACTATCTCTGTTTCTCTTTGGTGCTTTGCAAACTATTATTTTCAGACTTTCCTCGACTAAATGGCTACACGGCAACATGTGTCATACGAACATAACATATTGCTTAGAGAAGGTTTTTTAAAAACAAACAAAAAAACAAAAGAATTATTTTCGCTTTTTAATACCGGGGCAATATTAAGAAACAAGATGTAGCATTCCTCGCCAACCAAGCAAGGGGCATTCCTCAAGCACTATAATTGTTTACGTTAAACATACTACTTGGAATTTCGCTCTTTTTATGCCCAGCTAAAAGTTGATAACGGTATAATAATCGATGTAGCAAATTTGAAAAGCTGAAATTTCGACGGGGGCCCAACGAAACCTCGGCATTTTCAAAATTCACTTCGGAGGTCCACAACACTAAATCATCATCAAGTCAATAATCAGCCAAGTATTTCATTTGTCTAGTGATGCACATTCCAATTGTCAGTCTATAACACGCATATCTACAACAACGTAACAACAGATAAAGATGGCACTTTCCTTACCAAGAACGAACAGATGGAATAAAACGACACAAAGTAAAAGTACGCGAAGTCCGAGCCACAAAGCCCCGAGGGTTCTTGCGGGTCGGCGTTCGGGTCACACTTGACGTCATCTCGATGCGTGCACGCTAACATAATCTGCTGCCAGTTTTCACCAGTGGCAGACCTAGAATGTAACGGGTTATTAGACAAAAAATTGTAAATAGTAGGTTTTAAATTCAATAAAATTATTTTCAGCTTTGTTATTGATAAATGGAACTTGTGCAGTGGTTTTTACTACTCATATCAAAGATGTCGTGTTATCCGGTCCGCATCTCTTTTACGCAGTAGCTCAAAAAATATTGCGTGACAATGCAAACGAAGGTCACACAAGAGCAAGTAGCAAATGCAGCTTGTCACGAGAGGAAGAGAAGTGACAAAAGCCTAGTTATTTAAATCCGTCGCATGGGAAGACATCTTCTTTTTCGAGTCAGTTAAGGCTGGAATGTTACTTTCAGGGACGGACCATTATTTTGTTGAGGGGAGATTGTTAAAGCAGTTTTCTGGGGCGTGAAATGTTTGTTTAATGGGCAATAACTGGTGCAAGAATTTTTTTTCAACATCAAAAATAGGACCTGGATAGTAGGAATTATTTGCTCGATTTTTAATTCTCATGGCTCCCATCAGCCGTTTTTGCTATGCAGGAATTTTGCCCAACCCCACCCCATTAAAAAAATAATGGTCAGTCCCTTAGGGAGTGTAAAGTTAAAACTGTGTCAGAGAATAGCAGGCGTGTATTTACTTTACCTGAAAAGCACCATAAGCGACTGAGGAAAGGTCTGGAAATTGTTATTTCTGTTGATTGCAGTTTCAGAGTCAACAGCGATACGACCAAACATCTGCAAAAACACAAGTACGTGTTAGACAAAATCCTGTACAAGAGCGTTCTTGAAAGAAGAGGAGCAAAAAGAGCACGGAAGAGAAAGGAGAAAGGAAAAAGGAAAAGGCCAATTTAATGTATTGACAGTCCGGTGAATTTTATAATTTCTCTTGCAAACCAGAAGATTGAATTGGATTACGAATTGTTCTTTTAACCTTCAGTGGCGGATCTAGGTCTTATTTTGGGTAAAAAAAAAGAAGAATCAGAGAAGGAAGCAAAGCCAGCAGGGCAAGCAAAACAAAACCGCCCCCTCAGCTCAAGGTCTGGATCCGCCACTGGCCTTTTACTTTTGGTTCTCCTATGAAGGAATCTTTGTTTACAATATTTGCCTCATTAGCATAAGCAATTCAGTTTCTGATCAAGCTACAAAAAAATCATTTCTAAATATTGAAAGTGCATAGCATGAACAAATTTCTCGAGGAATTTGAGCTCGATGTATTGAATACTTTCTGTGCGACGCGGGTTTAAAAACTCAAAATTATACAAAGAATGTATGTCCTCATTAGCGCTTTTGCCAGCCAGAAATTTTGCAGTTATTGAAATCGAATTTCTTCTTGAACATTGCACCCAAAGAACCAAAAATTTCATCACTTACTAAGTTTCAAAAGCTCTGTGGACTCAATTCATATCTAACGAAATAACTTCTCTGTGCAAGATTTTCGGTTAATGAGGAAAAATGTAAAAACATTGACGTCGGCAACGATCGCTCTATTATTCAATTTCGAGGGCGATCGCATAGAAACCAGGTTGAAGTGATCGATTTTGATGTTCACGTTACGAATCTTACCTGCATTCCGATGACAGCATATATGAAGAACATCATTACAATAAGGAGAGCGACATAAGGGAGAGCCTGGAACGAGCAGAAAACAAGAATGAAATTATTAAAGTTACAGACTGGATCAGAAAAAGGCGCTAAGTGAGCTGTTAGCTGGATTTTCCGATCCTAGTTTATTGAGTATAGCGAGCCAAAGGGTAAAGAGTACAATTTACCCATATGTTTACATGCATTCGATTCTAATGACAGGGTCTCCTAAGTTCACATACATGTGAACAAATTGCCCCCAGAACTTAGAGAGGTTTTCATTTGAATGTCGAAAAGCAAATGGTCTTGCATCAACTACACTACACAATTGGCTTAAAAAAGATTCGCGCCACTTTTTCATCCAATCAGAAGTGAAACCAATACCAATCGTGACTCGCTTTCACGCGTTTTCCCGCGCTTCGCGTCCGCTACGTGTATTTACTTCAAGTTTTGACTGGTTCATTGGATTGTCTGTACCCTTTGTGATTGGCTAAAGTGATTATTTTGGTTTTGGTTTTACGACACTCAATTGAAAACCGCCCTAGTTAGCTTTTAAACTTTTTCATACTTTATCTGTTCATGTTGTCACCATAGTTCTGGTTTGAAGGTTGTTTTGCTGGATTTCGAAAGCCGAGGGAGCTTGGGGCGAGTTATTTGTCATTGAGTGTATCATTTGCATAAACTGTGCAACTAAAGACCCGGTTACCTAGTTAAAGAATGGTCTGCACAGAAAGGGACATTAAGTTAAGTTCACCTGAAAAGACTTGATAAAGGTCCAAAGTAGAGTCTTGATCCCAGACCCCTGGTTTAACAGCTTCACCAAACGCAGGGCGCGGAATAAACGAAAGAAGCCAAAAGCAAACATTTGTTCACTCTGAAGAAAAATAAGATATACAAAAACGAAACAAGCATATTAGCAAAACGAGCCGTACATCCTCAAAACACTCCAATTGCAGTCATGAGATGAAAATGAGTGTAGCTAAAAATGCCTTTTATAGGTTTTGAGTTTACATTTTTTCAATTTGATTTTGTTACGTGCCGTTTAAGTTTTTATCTCGTGAATGTGTCATGCTTTGATCTTACTCAGTGTGTGACAGCAAGTTAAAACGTTCGTTTGATTTTTAATTCCATAATGAACGAGCTTTAATGTGACTCTGCCGACGCAAACATTTNTTTTGTATCTGGCCAAAATATCTCAAAATACCGTGACTGAGCTCCTTTAAGAAGTAATATATCAAACACTCAAGACCGTGTTTGACCACATAACCAAACACATCGAAGTTCGTCAAAAATACTCCGCTGCGCGTCGTATTTTCAACTCTGTTCTCGGTGTTTGGAAATGTGGCAAAACACGGTCTTGAGTGTTTGATATATTATCTCTATCGAAACTAAAACTAAGGGGAAAACGGAGAAACAAAATCGTAAAAATCTAGGGTAATTAAGATCAGATATTCAAAGACCGTCACGGTCATAGTTTCCTTTGTTTAAACTTGATGAATTATGTGAGAAGGTCGCTTCAGCCCGGTTGCAAAGTTATGCGTTTCCGTTTAAATATGTGACCTCCGTTCCGATCTCCCACCCACCTAGTGTTATTTTTGAACCCACGTGATCATCATTCAAGTTTGCCTAACCAATCAGAATTCACGTAAGAAACAAGTAAGAAATGCGCATGCTCACTCACCCTGGCCATCCCTCGAAGGTCATGACAGTGAAGAGCGTCAACATGGCGTTACCAACATTGTCAAAGTTGAAGTCGTGTCTTTTCCATTCTCTCTTTTTTTCCTGTAATCCCCCAAAAATATACTTCATGTTAGTGTTTGTGCGACTAAAAGGATCAAAAGTGGTAATACTGTATATGACCATTGCTTATGCATTACTTCCGTATGGTATGTGACTTTATACCATGCTATAGAAAATACAGTCAATCAGAATACAGGAAAGCCGTTGTATATTCGACGATATTACATCCAACCTTCCATCATGCGCCGCTCCGGCTCGTATATCGCATTGACTGTGTCGGCCATTGTATTTTCTATGGCATGGTATAAAATAGTTATACAACGCTCTCACATGGTATACCATGAAATATCCCACTTGTCACTTGTATTTTCTTGGTATACACAGTCACCTAAAGGCTCGTATGTATACCGAGAAAATACAAGTGACTCGTGGGATATTTCACGGTATACCACTCGAAAGCGTTGAATAACTAGTATATAGTGTAGTGTTACTTGAAAGTAGTATCATCGAGCGAGAAGTGTAACTGTATTCGACAACTATTTAATGACGACAACTGTTAATAATAAGACCTGTTAAAAATTTCATTTATTCCACTTGTAACTGTTAAACAGTTGGTGTAACAAGAGTTGAACAGGAGACAATTACGTTCATTAGAGTGTTTGAATAGACTTTTCTGCGTTACGTAATCCTTTTGTGTTAGACTTGCAAATCGTACTTTTTTCGCATATATTAGTTCATAACTTAGCCTTGTTTTCGTTCGCTTAAATAAGTTTAATTCTAATCCTCGACGTGTGCAGTACGGAACAGAACTTCTTGGACATTTTCGAATATCGAGGTCACTTGGATTGTAAGGCCTTCTTTAAAAGTTTGGTTCAAAAAATCGTGTGAAATCGAATAANTAATGTCCTCTGCTAAACGTGTTACACTGAAGATGCAGAAGACGGTGCCTATGGTTTATAGTTCTTATCCGAGAGGACTTGAACGTCTAACCATTTGCAGATGTAATTACAAAGGTAGCACAATCTCTTCCGTTATTTTACGACCCCGAGTATTGGTCCGGTCTGGGGCTCGAACCAAAAGAGCTCCCGCACAGCAGTCTAGCGCTCTACCAACTGAGCTAACCATGCAGCGGTTCAGGTTATCCCCTAGCACTTTGCTAGGTTGAACATACGAAGTGAACAACAAGTCAACTATGCCACAAAATGCACGCCCCTATTGAACGAAAACATGGGACGTTACCTTAAATAACTGAACACCAATCACGGCGAACAAAAACTGGAACAGCATGGTGACAATCATAATGTTGCCGATGGTTTTCACCGCTACAAAAACGCACTGCACCACGTGCTGTGGAGACAGAAGAATGGAAAAGACGGTTAGATGGTAGCCTGCATAGATGGCGGGAATCGTGAGCGAGTGAGTTTTGATGGTGGAGCCGCCATTTTATAAAAGTTATAAAATCTTCAAACCTAGGTTACACAATGTCCTCAGCACAGGAACAAATATTGTAAAAATTTGGCTTTCTTCGTGCCATATAGGCTGCGTTAGGTTTGCAAGGTATTGTGGTAAAATGTACAGCCGCCATCTTTTTTCCCACGGTGGATTCAACTCGACTCTTCGCCAATCTCCTCACAGCTTCGCCACTCGGGTTTACGCCCGGCTTTCCCGCCAAAATAAATCACTCGCACGCGAAATTTCGCCAGCTAACAAAGCCGAAAGGCCTAGATGGAAATAAGATGGGAATGNGTTTTCAAATTCCTCCGGTTTGAAGAACGTTTTCCAGAAGCTCCGTTTTCGTGACGGATTAGTGCAGACGTACTAACCGTTGAAATAAAGCTGCGTTTTCACATTTCTCCAGCGTAGTGTGGAAGGGGCCTTATTTTCAAAAGAATTTCGCACTCACAGACTTACCTAAGGACGATTGAGATTACAGAAACAGATACGACTAGTAAATCAAGAAGATTGAAAGCACTGCGACAGAAAGAGCCCTTGTGAAGAATAAGGCCATAAGCGACAAACTGAAAGGAAAACAGGGCACTACATCAATTTAATGACTCGTCTACATAATTAACTTCAGATCTGGTTTATTTAATTAATACAAAAACTGCTTGGGAGTCAGTGAAGTCCTCTGCAACTTCTCTTTACCTAGGCATGCATGACTTAAACTTGCATGACATGTAAGACAATGACACAGACTTTAACGTGACCTGCATCATTAGCGTGACTAATGATAGCGTGACTTACGAAAGCGTGACTCGAAATAGCAGTATCTATTGATTACAAAGTAACGTGGTTGTCTAGAGTAAAGAAATTGTGTTACCTTAATAAGAATCTCCAACGTGAAGACACAAGTGAAGAAATAGTCGAAATAGTTGAGAACCTTTGAGAAATAGAAAACGATGGTGCCCATGATTAATATATGTCTGTAAAGTTTTAAAAGTTATCCACTTCCACGAAAAAAAAAAAAATGATGAGATTATCTTGAAGGAGCAAGGTCAAGGTCTGAGCATCTCCAAAAGTTAGGCCTAAATTTTTCAAGTTCGTCGTTTGCAATCCGTGTCAATCTTCTCCATTCTTAACCATCCTTGTTCCTTTATGGTTTAGTATTATCTCTTTAGTGTTTTTCTATCTTAGTAAACTATTATTTTCAGGTTTCCTTCAATTCAAAGGTAATTTTGTTCGTAGGATACCGTGACTTAGCTCCCTTAAGGCAAACATTTCGCTGGAACGGGTAAATCCCTGGTTCTGAGATATTCTGACTCAGGGAGAAATCAATTATGTATAGCACACCGCTAAAACGAACAAACCTTGCACAAACGACGATCAAGGAGCTTCATAAAGCTTAAAACCAAGGTCTACGAAAAAAACTTAAAGGAGCTAAGCCACGGCATTTTGAGTTATTTTGGCCACGTACGAAATTACCTTTAAATGGTAGGAAACCTGAAAATAACAGTTTAATAAGATAGAAAAACACCAAAGAGATAATAAAAAACCATAAAGAAACAACGATGGTCAAGGATGGAGAAGATTGACACGGATTACAAGCGACGAACTTGAAAAATTTAGGCTAAACTTTTCAAGATACATGCATACAAACCGTGACGTAACTCCTTTAAGCGAATAGACTACTTTCGTATTCTCGGTACTGGACTGGGACTGCCTTGCAATTTGGAGGCTCATGCGGAGGAATAATGTCATTTGCAATTGAAAAGGCTCCTTGCATTAGCCTCAGTTGCAAGCTAGTTCCAATGGTCTTTTCAGACCCTTCCCGGCCTCAGGTCGCCCGGTCAAATTGCGTGTATAAGTTGCAAACGGGTCATTCTTGTCGTCTTCAAGAAGTGACACCGGAAAAGCAACTTTTCCACCCTACTACTGAAACTGCCACAAATGACGAGCTTCTAATTTCCCATTACAATATCAATACACGGTCAAGCAAACAGGTGATGAGAGGAAGGTAAATAATCATCTTGGATATTTTAACTTGATANAAAACTAAATGTTATTATGGCTGTAATGTTTGTCTCACCGCACTTAAGATTGTCACCTTCATGGATGTGGTTGTATAATAATGCAATTGATTGTGAGTGCTCATGCAAATTCTGTTATTGAAAGTCTTTTGTTGAAAAAGGATTGTCCAAAAGTGTAAATGATCGTCGTTTCGTGACAACGAATTTTGTTTCGACAAAAATGAGAATACATTTACAGCTAATGAATGTCAAAGGGAGGTATTGTTTATCTTTTGATTTTGAATGTTAATGCATATGCAAGTGTTATTCTTGAATGTTCCATACGCGCAAATGAAGGTCATATTGGTGTGACCATAATGAAACGAATTTCGACAGAAATGAATGGATATTTTCTGTAAATGAACAGCAAAAGGTGTAATTTGATAAAAACTTGCAGCGTTCTATTCATGTATATACTAATCACGTACATAACAAAATCCAATCGAGACTCAGCTTAGGCACGTTTTCCAGTGCTTGGCATCGGATTCCTTTTCTCCGCGCTGCGTTTCAGTTTCATGTTTCCCGCGCTAGGCACCAGCTGCCTTTTCCCGTGCTAGGTACCAGCTGCCTCTTTCCCGCGCTGGACACCGGTTGCATTTTTCCCGCGCTTGGCACCAGTTGCATTTTTCCCGCGCCAGGCAACAGTTTCATTTTTCCCGCGTTTGGCTTCAGTTGAATGATTTCCCGAGCCTAGTACACGTTTCATGTTTTCCCGCCCTCGACAACGATTGTATGTTTCAATTTCGAGCTTTGATTGGTTCATTGTGCTATTGCCCTTATTGTGATTGGCCAAATGTAATAACTTTGGCCTCCATTTCATGGCTAATCTAAGCAAGGCACTCTATTGACAAACACACATTTCTTTTTTACTACTCACATGTTAGTTGATGAGAAAATAAAGAGGGCGGACTCAGGTGGCATAGGAGCCTTGTCGATATCCTCAGTAGAGGCAGCGCTAGCGCTTTCATTGTTGTCTGAAAAAACAAACAAACAAGTTCAGCACAAGAAGACATGATTGATCATCGCAGCTATGCGCACAACTGAAGCAGTTGTGAAATTAAAGCCTCAAAAAAACCAATGACCTCTGCGATACCGGTGCAGTGCTCTACCAACTGAGCTATCAAGCCATGTGGGAGCTGGTCACATTGTGAGTTCGTAATATACTCGTAGATGATGAAGAAAACAAATGAATATATGACGGATCATATATTTGAACTGCGGAGAAAGATATCAAATATATCAGCCTTCGTATATTCATTTGTATTCTTCATCATCTACGGGTAAATCTTACTGTTGATGGCAGGCTTGTCATGTTCAGATTGTTCCGCTGACTGGGCCTCGATGTCATTGTGTGACGCTGTCTGCAGAGATAAAAGAGAATTAAAAACAAAAACAGTGCATTCCAATATTCAAATTGTTAAGGTAAATTTTATGGCATAATTCTACAACGTAATCATGTAAACAGTGAAATTCAAATGTACAACCGTCAAACATTTGCAACTAAAGATGACATGGTAATGTCGACGCATGTTTTGTAAAATAAAAAAATGTTGTTTCCTGTTTAAACATTGCTGTTACTCTGCTGTTTAACGATCGTTAAAACATAAGAAAAATTGAAAATTTTAAAAAAAATTTAAAGAGAATTAGGTCCAGTTCGAACGTCGAACTTCACTTGAAACGAACTAAGCTGAGTCATGATAAGTTCGTCGTTTGACTCAACTGAGTTCGTCTGACTGAATTTAGATCGACCAACACGTTCTATTCGTGTGAGGCAGACAGATCGAACGTGTTGAACGATCTAAATTCAAATTAAGTTCGACATTTGACCCAACGGTCGAGCTTTTTATCCGTTTGGACTCCGTTTGGATCGACTCAAATTGCAATTTAGTTCGTCTCATGTGAAGTTCCACGTTTGACCTGGGCCTAGTCATGACTACCGCGGCAAAAAATGAACCAGAAAGTTAAAAAAAAGTTGGTCTATAAAGCATTTACAAAATTGTTACCTGGTAAGAAAATAGCAAAATTATGTGTCTGTAATTACAGATCACAGAGGCATTGCCAAAGACTTATACATTGAGAGTAAATTTTGTATATTTTTTCAAATTTTAATTAAATTAGATAATACTCTTAAAATAATAGTAGCTCGCCCAGAATAGCTTTGCTAGCTGCGAGCTACTAAGAGTGCGTTTCTTTAAGAAAATCCAAGATTAGATTCTTTAATCCGAAAACGGATTTGCGTTTCTTTGCTAAACAGATCAATCCAAGATCACTCGGATCATGGTACATCCAAAAACCGAAGAATCCATGCCCAGAGTACATTCGTCGGTTCCTTTGACGCACCATGACTCGAGAGATCTTGGATTAATCTGTTTAGGAAAACAAACGCAAAATCCGTTTTCGGATTTAAGAATCCAATCTTAGATTTTCTTAAAGAAACGCACCTTAAGGCTTGTAAACTTATTATACATCAATAAAAGTTACTGTTACTGTTACTGTTGCTGTTACTGCTACGGCTGCAGCTGCGGCTACAGCTGCGGCTGCGGCTGCGGCTGCGGCTGCGGCTGCGGCTGCGGCTGCGGCTGCGGCTGCGGCTGCGGCTGCAACTGCAGCTGCTGCGGCTGCGGCTGCGGCTACGAGGTGATGAGAATAAGGAATATCAAAAACTAGGACAGCCTTGATCTACCATCAAATACTTCAGTCTGACATTAAAAGGATAGTTTTGGAATAAGTAAAGAGAGTTTCTGTTTCCAATCAAGTGAGTATTCACTTACTCTTGCAACACCATTTCCATTTAAAGTTCCTGTGGAATGGAGTTCTTGCGTGGACTTGTCCAACGTTCTGAAAGACGGAGAAAATGGGGTTTTTACTGGTCTTAACGATTAACACAGTCCTAAACTTTGGAAATTACTTTGAGCATGAGATCACTAAATTCTGGAGTTTGAGCACTAACGCAAATCAAAAAGCTCTGAAGTGGACTTTCTGTACCCGTCCATCAATATTAGCGTTCTATAATCCACCAAATAGTTTCGCTCGCATGTGATTGGTCATAATGTGTCACGTCACTGAATATGCCCCGACTTAATCTGGAGAACATCCGAGTGATATCCCACATTTTTTTTTTAAAGACTCCACGTGGCTCGAAAATATTTGAAGGATAATAAATATAGCCCTCTTTTGACTTCAAAAATATGCCCGGTTATTTGTTCCTGGACTTATGCTGTTCCCCGAAGCTCAGATAATGTCTGCGGACAAATATCCGAGCATATTTCGCTCCAAATGGAGGCTATTTTTTCTATAACATGAAGACTCTCCTCTCCACTCCTCGCACACAAAATGTGAGCTCTTACGCATTTGACCGTGAGGTTGAACTGTGGTTGGGCACCACAGCTCCATCCTGGTCCAGCATGTTCTGTGATTCTATGGAGCCTTTCATTTTCAAGGCTTCCTTTTCTCTCTTTTCCTCTTTCTTCCTTTTCTTTTCTTCCTCCATTTCTGTTAAATTCTCAGCATCAGCCAGGTTGTCGACAGCAATGGCCAAGAATACGTTGAGAAGGATGTCTAAATAACGTCAAGGGTAGCCGTTTAACAGCAAACCTAACAAAAATATCTCATATCTTTTTTGCTGCTGTTATTGTTTTTTGTTTTATTTTTAACAGAGAAGCATTAGATTACAGTAAAAAACCCCGCGTATCAGAACCGCGATTATTCCAAGTTAGCATAATCAAGTTCAAATGTACCACAAGTTGGTAAGTAACGGGATCTAAATGGAGAATCTTAGCCTAACACGTTTTTTTTTTTTTTTTTTTTTTTT